AATTGAAAGCATTTACACTTTCGATTTATCAATAAACTTCTTAAACTCTAAAATATTTACTTTATTTAGTTTATTCCATTATAAAAATTTTATCACGCAACGCATTTGTATTAAACTAATAGTCAAAAGTTTTTCTTTTATGAACATTTCAAAATCATAATAATTTTTTAAAATGGTGTATTCCTTTGTTAATATGGAAACTGCTGATTGTTTATAATTTTAATGTTTTATAACATTAAAATTATAAACAGTTTTCATGATAACAAAGGAATACACTATTTAAAAAAATTATCACCTTTTAAATTTGTACATTATTTAATTGAATAGAGAAAAACTTGGACAATCAATAAACCTCTGTTAGTTATTTTTAAATATTCTGAATAGTCGTAACACCGAGAATGAGGCGGTTACCCCTTCGGGATTATGCGTTGTTTGACGGATGTTGGATCCAGTTGAAGAAACTGTAATTCCGTCGTGAATCTTCAGATGAGTAAGGTGCAGGATCGGTTAAATACTCGCCTCTCGACTATCGAACGGATCGTTCGATAGTCGAGAGGCGAGTATTTAACCGATCCTGCACCTTACTCATCTGAAGATTCACGACGGAATTACAGTTTCTTCAACTGGATCCAACATCCGTCAAACAACGCATAATCCCGAAGGGGTAACCGCCTCATTCTCGGTGTTACGACTATTCAGAATATTTAAAAATAACTAACAGAGGTTTATTGATTGTCCAAGTTTTTCTCTATTCAATTAAATAATGTACAAATTTAAAAGGTGATAATTTTTTTAAATAGTGTATTCCTTTGTTATCATGAAAACTGTTTATAATTTTAATGTTATAAAACATTAAAATTATAAACAATCAGCAGTTTCCATATTAACAAAGGAATACACCATTTTAAAAAATTATTATGATTTTGAAATGTTCATAAAAGAAAAACTTTTGACTATTAGTTTAATACAAATGCGTTGCGTGATAAAATTTTTATAATGGAATAAACTAAATAAAGTAAATATTTTAGAGTTTAAGAAGTTTATTGATAAATCGAAAGTGTAAATGCTTTCAATTATAAACGTGATCGATTTTCGAGTTGTTTAATTAACTTTTGTCATCTTAAAAATTTATTTACTTGTCAAGTTTGTGTTATTTATTTATAATAATGTGCAATATTAAACTTCTTTGTGTGTTTTAATAAATTAATCGCGAATTTTTGAAAAAAGTAACATAGGAATTACTCGATGTTGATTTAAACTCAAAATTATTTTATAATTTCAATACAAGCGTGTATTCATGAGCGATGGAAGTAGAAAACTAAAAAAAAATTGTAGTTTGTTGTATGACTGTGTACCGTAGGTACATTATTATCAAGAGTGAAATTGTAGTGAATAGGTTAACATTAAACACAAAATTCATTTATTAAAGTAAATTTTTCAAGGCTCATGGAAATAAGTCGTCAGCATCTACACAATATATCGTTGTTTAGCCATTAGTTACTATACACGATATCAGTGCAAGTTTTCATCGTTACATCGAATATAATGTTGAAGTGCTTATAATTAGACGTGAAATTAAATATGAGAAGATTTGGATTGTTACTAATAGTCTCATTCTACTCTGCTGTTGGTAATATACCAAATGAAGTTGCTATTGGTAAGATTAGCAAAGATAAGTTTACTTTTATGTTTTGGATATACTCGAATGCATTAACTTTAGTTGTTTTAATAACAAAACATGTAATCAATGTTAATATTAATTTAATGACTCTGCTTCTGACCTTTACTTTAATATTATTTAACTTATTCTTGCATAAACGAGGACAGTTGTAATTTTTATTTAAAACCGTCGTAATTTATATTTCAGCATCCAAGTATTTGAAAACAATATATTACATTTTGGTATTTATAACGATTGCACAATATAAAATTTACAGTTATTACAAAAATAAATTTTGTAAAAATTACAGCGGCGCGTAATAATATAAAATTAATCCGTTTGAAACTATATCTGGTATATTTCCTTTTTTATTTGTTTTTAGTAATCATACAATTTAAACTTGTTTAGTCCATTTTTTGTACTTGACATTATGATTTGAATAATACATTTAAAATACAAAATATAAACAAAATGAACTAAACAAGCCTTAATTGTATCACCGCTAAAAACAAATGAAAAAGGTAATGTACCAGATGTTGTTTTAAAACGAATTAATTTCTTACTACGTACCGCTGTAATTTTTTCAAAAGTTATTGGTTTTATATATAGTAATAATAATAATCTATATGAAGAAGAAAATCATATTCCGAAATGGAGTTTAGTTAATTTGTAATATTTTTGTAATAACTGTAAATTTTATATTGTGCAATCGTTATAAATAACAAAATGTAATATACTGTTTTCAAATATTGACTGCTGTGTATGATAAACCTTGAAATATAAATTACAACTGTCTTCGTTTATGCAAGAATAAGTAAAATAATGTTATTAATGAATGACTTAGATAATGTAAAATAAATTATTATAATAGCAATCTACTAATTTCGATTTATCTGTTATAGATTTCCGTTAAATATTTATACTCTTTACTTTTCAGGTGCTATTTTTCCGTCTGATTTTTCTATATTACAAGAAACATTTCGGTTAGCTATAAACAATATAAATTCAGATTCTAATTTATTACCCAATACGATACTCATTCCGATTACAGAGAATGCTTCTACGCAATTAGAAGTTATTAGAGCCGGTAAATTTATATAAATTATATTAAAATTATCTTATTAATAAAATTAAATACCGATATAATTTTTCAGCGTGTAATTTAGTGGATCAGCGAGTGATATCGATAGTTGGACCGCTAACGTCTTTAAATTCTAAAAGTGCTCAAATTGTGTGTGGCCAATTGGGAATACCGCA